GATCACTGGAGCCTCACTGAAGACAACAAGGGGAAATGAAAAATGAAAGATTATTAACTGATATTTTATGGTCAGGCAAATCATTTGATTACCAATTATTTAATATTCATTATTTTTGACAAATGTGATAAAAAAATCAAAATAAAAGTTTCCAATTCCTGCACAAATCAGAGATTCTTGCGCCTCATTATATTTTCTCTCTGATTCATATCAGGTCTTAGTAGAATAATATAACATTTGGGAAAAAAGATACAAACCAAGAGACCAGCCCCAGAAGCCAAGATGGAGAAGATCTCACCAGCCACCATGGACTTCCCTTTGTCACTCAAATAGGTGGGGAGGAAGGTGGCCCAAACACTGCAAAAGACCAGCATGCTAAAAGTAATGAACTTGGCTTCATTAAAACTATCAGGCAATTTCCTTGCCAGAAAAGCCACAGTAAAACTGACAAGGGCCAAAAATCCAAGATAGGCAAGGACAGTGTAAAACATTGAAGCTGAGCCTTCATTACATTCCAAGATGATCTCTCCAAACACGGAGTGGAAGTCCAAGTTGGGAAATGGAGGAGATGTTACCAGCCAGGAGGCACAAAGAAGGACTTGGACCAGAGGACAGGCTATAACAATGGAGTTGGTCAGTGGTTTCCCTAAGAATTTCCTTGCTTTGTTCCCTGGTTTGGTGGCCCTGAAGGCAAGGACCACCATGACAGTTTTTGCCAACACAGAGGAAACCACAAGGGAAAAGAGAATAGCAAAGGCAGTTTGTCGGAGGACACACGTGAATTTCCCAGGTTGACCAATGAAGAGGAAGGAGCAGAGGAAGCAGAGCAGGAGAGAGACCAGGAGGAGGTAGGTGAGATTTTGGTTGTTGGCTTTGACTATTGGTGTGACACGATGTTTAAGGAAAATCGCCAGGACTACTGATGTGATCACAGAGAGAGAAAGAGCTAGAGAAAGTAAAGTGTATCCCAGGGTCTCTTGATAGGCAAGAAAATGGAGTTTCTTGGAAATGCACTGGTTCTTGTCCTTGTTGGGATATCGGTCTTCTGGGCATGGGTTACAGTCGGCGGCATCTGAAATGAAGAATTTTTGTTTATGGATTTCAGGGACATCTGCCATGAATATTATCTCTCCCATAGGATGACATGACTGTTTCCTTTGTGCTGTAGCCAACCCAGAATGATAACAATGGAACGACCTAATCTGCAGTTTATGGTGCATCCCAAAGGGCAAATCCTTCTTCATTCATAATGACTCTGGGTAGGTGTCACGCCCCCATCTGAGCCTGACTCTGTGGGGGAAGACAAGTTGGCAGAGATTGAGGGGGCGGCTTTGTTGGCTTTGGAGTAAAACAGGGAAGGCCAGGGCCTTACAGGAACAGCTTGTAGAGAGGTGGGATAAACATGAGAGATAGAGCTCAGGCAAGGAGCAAGGACCACCCCCTCCTGATCTGAGAGCACGGAGGGTGGAGAGAAGGCAAGAAGAGCACAGACTGAGCAGGCTACTTGGGAGAAGAGTGCCCTGCCCATCTTCACAAGGAAAACCTGGGGAATAAGACTTATTGAGACGCTGTGGGGAGGGGCATTTGTTGGGAACAACAAATTCTGAATTCCTGAAGTATTAAGTGCTGAAGTTTGAACTTTACAAGAGTCCTTGCATTCTTTCTGGATTTCTGGATTACTTGCCTTGCTCCTTTGCTTCCTGGACTCCTTGATTTGCCCTGCTGGATTGATTGTTTTGCAGCCTTGTTGTAGACAGCACTGGACTGGACTATTTTCAGACAGAGGCTGCTTGAGGTGTGGGGGGGGCTTTGTCATCACTTTGCTCTGGGACTTGCTAGAAACATGGGAGTGTTTGGGTAAATTTGGAGCAATAAAATGGTGGTTTGAACTGCCAGTTGCCCATGTGATCTCTTTGTTGTGCCTCGGGTCACCATCATAGGTTTGCCAAGGACCACAATGTCTTCAGCCTGAACTGGCCTAGTTAGCTGGCTATGGGGAAAAGTACCACTAGCGCTAGCACTTAGACTTATATGCCACTTCACAGTGCTTTACAGGCCTCTCTAAGTGGTTTACAGTGTCATCATATGGCTCCCAACAATCTGGGTCCTCATTTTACTGACCTCAGAAGGATGGAAGGCTGAGTCAACCTTGTGCCTGGTGAGATTCTATCTACCAAACTGTTGGCAGCCGGTGATCAGCAGACGTAGCCTGCAGTACTGCACTCTAACCACTGCGCCACCACCATTTCCATCTCTGCAGGCCAACGGCAACTGGGGCAGTGTCGGAGGGGAAGAGGGGATGGTTTCATGTGCACATGTGCTGCTTGCACAAATGCAGCTTGCAAGCTCACTTGTCATTTGCATGGCCCAGTTCCCATTGGGCTGTGGCCTGGAACAGGAGTTAGGGACCACTGCTTGACAGTACTTCCTCCTTTACTGTGGCTTTCAGCCTTAGAGAAATAGCTAAATGGGTCCCCCCCACGCAGTTTATACTGGAACCCCCAGAAAACTGACAGATGTATCAGATAGCAAGCCTGCTACTTTGTTTGTGTGTACATAATTAAATGGTCAATTTCTGTGTTTTGTAGTTCACATCTGCTCATTCAGACTTTTCTTGATGGGAAGGGTTAGCAGACATAGACATATACACATACACATACACACACACACACACACACACACACACACACACACACACACACACACACACACACACACACACACACACACACACACACACACACACACACACTCCATATACATATATATATATATATGGATCTTCTCTTTCTCTGGCAGGTCTGTTAATTTCCTGGGAAATGAATGGGTCTAAAAGAAAAAGCACATTTCAATATCCTGAAGCAGAAACCAAAAGTCTTCTGGAAAAGACTGGAAACTGGTTTTCCCAATTGATTTTACTATAGGTGTCAAACTAAAGCCATCTTTGAATGCAGCCATTTTTTTTCTTGTGGATCTTTGGCCTGCCACACTTTCTAGTATTCTAGTATGCATTTTCTGTCGTGGGAAAATGGGAGGGGGGGATTGCAAGGAGACGCTATGTAGCCATAACAAAATTCTTCCTAGAAAGCCAAAGTCATCCGTTGTCTTTGCACCTCAGCACCTGACTGGAACTGGATGGGTGGAAGCTGCCAGCATGGCAGTGGGATATTGGACCATGTGATGGACTTGTGGATGTGGGGGCAAGTTCTTGAACTTTAAACTAAGTGGGGAAAACCGGGAAGCTTTCAGATTTGGGTTTCCCAGAAGTGCCAACATGTTTCTCTTAATAAATTGGAACTTTGAGCAATACTTTGTCTTGGACTCTGATTTACTTTTGGATGCTATTTGGAACCCTGACATTAACCCAAATCTTACATCAGGGTTGCCACAGTGAGGCTGGATGGAGCTGTGGGAAAGGAAGTTGGGAGAAGAGATGGTTGGTGGAATATATAGCCAAAATAACATTCTTTCTTCTGGGAACCAAGGACATTCTCACCAGCACCTGGAGGGGCGTGGATGGGAGCAACTTAGATTGGTGAAGGTGACTGATTGGGGCATGTGATGATTGTGTGTAATGGGGGAAGAACTTTGGATTTTTGAACTGGGTAAGGAAAACCTGGGATACTTCAGATTCAGGTTTTCAACCAGCTGTGCCAATATGACATGTCTAATAAATCTACACACTGAGGAAGTCTCTGGTCTTGGACTTTTGATTTCATTTCGGCTGTTCCTTGGAACCCTGACATTAAGCCAACTCTGAAGTTCCCCGGAATGGAATGGAAAGGCTAGTTGGGAACCTGGAATTTTTGCCCTGATACTGCACAGCGTTATTTCTGAGGATTGAGAATGGTCGCCTGTTACCAAAGGACAGCTTAGATCAATAAATTGAAAGCTTCTGCTGAAAACTTATGGATACTTTTGTTGGAAGAAATGTCCATCTTGGTTCAGTTCCAAGTGGGGAAAAAGACACTGGAAACATGGAGGCTGTTTGGAAAGATGGTTTAATGGTGGACAGGATCATATGCCTTGGAGCTACTGGGAGAAAAGGAAAGAGAAGCTAAGAGTCCCTGGGTTTTATGCCCTCAATGGGGTTTGAACTTCCTGGAAGAGTACCCTGATTGGTTGCTGTCAGAAGTCATAGCTCGCTTTGTAGGTTGTCTGTGTGCTAGGTATGGTTGAAACTTGATGGGTGGTGCAATGAAGGGCAATGAAATGGCTCTGCCTGAACAGGGTAGATCTTTGTTATCTAGAATAGATTGGCTCAGGCTTTAATGGCCCATTGGCAAAGGTGGGGGATGAATTTCTGCCTCCCTTTTAGGGGGAATATTTTGCCCTTTTATTTTTTTCTGAAATAATTCATTTTTCTAGGAGAGGGGTAGGTGCTAACTTCCTACACAGTGAAGCACGACAATCTTATCAAAATGTCAACAATAACAAAAAAAATGTTTTGATCTACTGTATGGCTTCCTTGATCCTGGAAGATCTACATTTGAATTGTTCTCTACCTGTCTGATTAGAAATGGTCCCTTCTGGACAAGCGTCACATTGGTAGCAGCAAACCTGCTGGCCCTCTGGAACATTTCTCCTCTCTCCTGCCTGGCACCTCTTCATGCCACACCTGGCAAAAGGTACCTTCTAAAAGAGAAGAGAGAACGGCTTGAGGTGACCTAGGAATGAATGTAGAAGACCTGCCATTTTTCACCAAATGGCTACCGTGTTTCCTGATTCAATAGACCTGTTTCCAGTTGGTAGAATGTTCTGCATCCCCAGAAGAGAATTCTATTTTTTCCTGAATTTACAACATTGCTTTGTACCCCACCTTTGTGGCCCAGATGATTGCATCAGTATTGATGGTGAATTCGGGATCTGGGGAAGCCCCAGGATCTATTTGACCAACTTTTATGGGGGCAAATGATTGATTGGGAAAGAAAATCCAGTTGAGAAGATCATAACGAGCAGATCCCAGTCCATTTTCTGAGAAGGAGACCTCATCTCCAGCACTGTTGTTGAATTGGACATTCTTCAAATGGTCAAGAATCTGAAAGGAAAGACACCTTCAGAAATTGGAATGATTGGGTGAAAATCATAAATGAGAAATCATAGCTTCTATCATTCTGTGATGGCTATCATCTTAGGATATAAAAATACATACTGTACATACATTGCTCAGATGAACTTCCATTGTCTGCCTGCCTGCCTGCCTGCCTGCCTGCCTGCCTACCTGCCTACCTACCTACCTACCTACCTACCTACCTACCTATCTACTATATCTATCATCTGTATATAGAAGTTCATCAGAGCAATCAGGAGTAACAGCAACAAATATTTGACTCCTTCCCCAAAGAGTGTGAAAGAATGTCTTTTATCATTGGGCCCTTGTATGATGGCTTTATCAACACTTTTTACTGAAAAATACCTACATTTGAAAAGTTTAATGCCACATGGTTTTGCTCATAATAATTGGCTATATACATTTTTAAATGTTCCTTTGTGTATATTTTGGACATTTAGTTTACTTCTCTTTTCTCTTCTCTGCCCCTTTTTAATGCAACATACTTAATTCATATTATTGTTATTATGAATTCCCTTTTTAATCTGTTCAGAGATGCATGAATGGGGTGACATGTAATCTGTAATTCTAGGGTCTATGTACTGTCTACAAGAAACTTTCTCTCTCAGCATCTGTGAACTGAATAAAAAGGAATTACCTGCCATGACTGGACAGTTGAGATCTTCTTCCCAAGCCTCATCAAGTGTGTTTGTGCTCCTGATCCATGCATTGTATGTAATGCATGTGCCACAGCATAAATGGCATTGTAGATATTGTAACTTTCACCTGTCATGCTTTTTTCAAATGTATGTGTTGAGAGATTCTGTAATTTCTCCTTTCCTGTACATTGTTTTCTTCTCTTTTGAGGGATTTTGCCCAATTTCTGGAATTCGCAGTTGAATGTAATTTCCCAAAATAGCAGGAGAAAAATGTCTCCTTTGGGGTTCAAAGGATCTAAAGAAAGGAGAAAATGGCTGAATTCCGAGACATCCCCAGCATGGTCCCTAAAATGCAAAGCCCCATGGAAGCGCTTCATGATTCCTTGAGATCCCAGCACACTAAGTTCCC